TGTCCGAAGGAATTTTGTGGTGTTAGACAAAGTACAGCACTCAGCTGTCGGAGAAGAAAATTCCAAAAAACCAAGGAGCGGGGCGGAAGGAAGGCTTCGCACGAAAATAATAAAGAGTTGGAAAATGTTTGGGAAAATTAAAAATAAGTAGCAGAATGTTTGTTTGTGTGCGAGCGTTGAAAGCTTTATGAGCCATTGCTGGCATCAAAATGTCATTGCAGACGACATTCGCCTGAAATGGGAACTCAGCAGAGGATTTTTGGCGACTTCTGTCTGTGTCTTTGCCAGTTTGTTTGTGGCGGTTCAAACAAAACGGAAGAAAATTGAAGAAAAGCCAGTAAAGGGTTGCAAAAGCGTTGATGCGTTCATTGACTCCTCCTTCGAGTTGGCCATAATTCTTTCGTCGCGAATATTTCGCATAATGCTTACAGAAAAAATTTACACGCAATAGATTTTTATGTCCTCCACCAGAATGCACACTCAACAGCAGTGCGAATTATCCCCCAGTTCCATATATCATTTTTGACTCAGCCGCATTTTTGGCTATTTTTTCCACCGATTTCATGTACTTTTTCAGCATGCTCTGGTTTGCATTCATCTGCGTGGCATTATTCAGCATCATCTCGCTGAGCAAGCGGACCTGGCATCGCTTTCAGACCTCGCCGATGGTCATATCCATGGATCGAAATAAGCTATTCTGGAACACGAGCTTTCCATCATTGACAGTCTGCCCCCATAAGCGCATCGACGAGTTGAAAGTGGAGGAGTATATACTGTAAGTGTTTGTATAAAAAAAAACGAAGATAATTTTATGGGACATTCGTTAAATAGTTCTTATTTTTTGAATTTGTATATATTTTAAACTAAAAACTAAACTACTATCATATTTTACTAATCGAGCAGCAGAAGGCATCGATTCGATCGATAAGTTTAGAAATCAAAATCCCTTTATTTGGCAGATACAAGTTTACATAACGTCAGCAATATATGGTTCTTTTCTTTTATACGCATAAGTCCGAGACAAGTTAAACAACAAAATAGGAACAGCCAATACAATTTTTAAAAATATCTTTTCAAGGATACGTTATACAAATTAATTTTAATGTTTATATTACAAAATGTTTAGTAAAAGCGTTTACCGAATAATTATATAATTTCAGAATATTTACATATCTTATATATATATAAATATAATTGTGACTGGTGCATTTATGTAAAAGTATTATACTTGTAGCGTCAGGACATTAAAATATATAATTAAATCATATATATATTTCTTATACATATTTTTCAAAATATTAGTACAAATAAACGTTTAGTTTTATTCCTTCTTCTGCACTTTCATTACACATAGTGCCCATCCCGAGCAATTTTTGTCCGAGGAGGATCAAGAGGACTTCCGCGATTTTATTGTAAAACTTGCCAGCCTCACTTACGACAACTTGGAGACGCTGCCTCTGAACAAGTCGTATGGGATTCCGAGTGTCAAGTACTTGGACCTGCTCTACGAGTTGAAATGGCCCTTTGAACCGGAAATCAGCAGCGGCGCCGCCGTCAAAATGTTCATCTACGAGACGCAAACGGAGTTTGGCATTTGCCATTCAGTCAACTCGCTGGTGGCCCGCTACAATTCCTTCGAGTGAGTAATTGTTGGCCAGGAAGTGGCTCTGATTTGATGGCTTTCTGGCTTTTTGGCAGCTACTGGCGATCTGGCGACTGGAGCCTTTTGGACCATGGGGATCGGGTCACAGTTCATCCACTGGATGGCGAGATCTACGCCCAGATTATAAACCTTTCGACAGCCTACGATGTTTATTTCCACGGGGCCGGAGATGTCCCAAGCATATCGAAGCAGAGATATACCTTTCCAGAGAGCGATTATACTACAGTTGAACTAATCGCCTTAGAGATATTTACCAATGAAGAGGCCAGAGCGTGAGTTGAAAAAAAATTCTATCCTTAAAAAATTAAAATAAAAACTTGAAATAAAATATTTATCTTAGTGAAGTTGAAATAATTAATTGGTTGTTCTTCATTGTTTTTCTTGAGACTGAAAGAATTAATCCAAATAAGGTTGGCAAATCAAACAATGTTAACAACTACAAAATAATACTTTCAATTTCAATATGTTGATATATTAAGAGAAAATAACATAAATATAAAAAACATATTACAATATTAAAACCCCTAAAAAAAACGTAAAAAAGAAACACATATGCCGTGTGTACAATAATGTTCAAGCTTACATTTTTGTTATGCCCGAGTTCCAGTGTAAAATCTTGACTTTTATTTGCAGGGCCAATTTTCACGTCATAATTTTATGATCCTTTTGGGTTGTTTTCTTTTTTTGATGTATTGTTAACTCTTCTGGTAGTTTCAGCACCAAACAAAGGAGTTGTCGCTTCAACTACGAAGCCGAGGAGATGCTGACCGTGCCCATCTACAGCTTTGGCCTCTGCCTGTCCGAGTGCCGAATGTTTTTCGCTCTGCAGGTCTGCGGCTGCATTCCGCACTTCTACCGGAACCTCCGTGGGTATATTCATATTTTCGGGACACAGAGTTGCACTTAATTGGCCCCCATTAAAGTTAACTTTTATGCGCCGGACGGGGATGCATCAAAGCTGCCCAGTTTTATGGCGCAAATTCGGTCGTAAAATGTTTAAATACTCGTAGTTTAAGTGGCAACTTTGGCACGATTATCTGTCTCGCTCCAATGCGCTCCGTCTATCCGTCTCTTTCTTTTATGTTTTCCAGTGCGAAATGGACGAAGGTTGCCTGTTTGCGGGCTGGAGGGCATCGGATGCCTGGTCAAAATTAAACGTGAGTAATTTGCCCCGTCCGAGAACATGCAAATATTTAACCTGCCCCGGAAATTCGATTTTAATTTTTCTGTCGAAAAAAATGAGTAGAAATTTCCCAGAACGTGACCATAATTTAATTTTTTCAGGGGTGGTCAAAAGTCAAGGTTGGAATATAGAAGAGAACCTGTTGCGTAATTGTAATACTGGAAGTAATTGGCTGAGGGAGGGAAGATTACCGGACAGGTTAACATTGATAAGCTGGATAAATATTTTTAACGAAAAAGCTTATGTTTTGTTAGAGTAAAGTATATTAAGTTTACTGGTAAAGAGAATACAACATAAGGTTCCAAGGGCAAACATTTGTTTTTTTAGCATATTTATGCATCGTTTTTCAATCGTTTGTTGTCGATTTCTTTTTGCAGAGATCAGAAATTAATAGGCCTTGTTGGATTAATACTAGCAACATCCGCACTATTAGCGATTCTATCAATTCATATTTAATTTATTGTGTTATTAGAATACTAGTTTACCAAAGTTAATTGCACATTCCTGAAAAAAAAGTAGACAACAAATTTCCATTTTGTTTTTTAAAAAGGGCAATGATACTATGTCAATACATTTTAGCTAGCGTAAAATTAATTTAAAAATATAAAAAAAAGATGAACAAAATTATTTTTAATAAATAAAATTACTTTACCACACAGGCGAGATAATCTCTTTGAAATCGGACAAATACAAAATCAATTGCAATTGTTTGGCCAACTGTGATGATTCGAACTTCTTTGTGCAATCCTACGTAAGTACAACGTCGCACATAATAATAAAAATAAATGAAAAAATGGCAAATCCCCTATTAAAAAATATAAAGTAAACTTTAACTGTAAAAATGTTTATGGAGAACAGAAGCGCCATCATCTAGTGCTCGTTAAGTGGAAACTGCAGACGCCGCTGCGTCGCGCATTTCAAGTGGAAAAATGCCCGGAAAACTGGGGAAAATCCGCTGGAGAATCGGAGCAAAGCGGAGCGCCGAACATTCGGGGGCATTTGCCTTAAACAAACATCAAAATTGTAGTCCGGAGCTATAAAAAATAATAAGCGCAGAAGTTGCAGGAACTGGGCGCCTTGAAATATGCAATTATTTTGGGGATGAGGTGTACGAAAAGGGGCGGCCAACCAAAAGTTTTCTTTAACTTTTTTCGCGCTGTGTGCGGCGAAAGTTTTTACATTTAATAATAATTTTTGCTTACTTGCCTTGTTACCAGAATACTGATGATGATTATGATGATGTTGTTCTCATTTCGCCTTTGTTTTTGTTTTCTGTTATCTGCTTATCTGTATATGTTTCGTCCGATTTCTCTATTTTCCGGCTTTTCCTCAGCGCTCGCGTGTCTGGTTCCTGGGCGCTAATCTGCAATGGGGCATATCGAGTGGGGCATATCCCAAAATGCAACTCCGCCGAGACGTCCTCTTCTCCTTCGCCGATGTTTTGGGTGAGTTTTCTCTTCGGGCAAACTTTTAAGACCCACTTGAACCACTTACTTTTCACTTTTCACGTCCCTATTTATTTCAGTTTACATCGGCGGCCTGGTCGGATTTTTCTTGGGCTGCAGCGCCTTGAGCTTTACGGAAATAATCTATTACTTTACGGCTCGATTTGTGCGACGCATGTTTTTTAATTAACTCTCAATACCATTCTCGTACAATGTATGCAATAAAAGAAAACAATTATTCTGTAATCAATTTTAATATTATTCGCTTTGATTAAGTAAAGATAAATTGCGTATTTAGTTAAATAAAATAACAAAATAAAGAAATATTTAATTTTAGTATCTGAAAATATAATTTAAATTTAAACAAAATACTAACTTTTTTATATCTAATATTTTCCACATTAATTAAAATAGAAAAAAATGTAATTCTAAATTTAAAATGCATTGTAATTATTATTGAATTTATATATAAAATAAAACGTTTTATTTAAATTAGTTAGATATTTTTATTTTTACTATTCCATTTTTATATCAGTGTACTTTGTAGAAATATTATTGCTTACCTAAATATCAATACTTAAACAAAAATCGTATATAAACATATATATAAGAGGGAAAAAATAACCAAGCTAATATATAATTATTTAAATGTACATTTTTGTTTCCTTTACGTTGTGTCGGTATTAAATTTAAGAGTAAAATGACAATTATAAAAGCAAGCACTTTACGAACGTTCAATAATTGATGTACAATTTTTAAATAAAATTCATTAGACTTGTAGCAGTTGATAACTTCGTAATCGAATATATTAAGTTTCGAAAAGGTAAGCAACAAAACTTGGGATCTCATCCTTAGTCGCTCGTACAAAAATCGTCCACAATCCCAGAAGCTGCCTTGATCTCCTTCCAGCGATCTGTAATCGAGGATCCATTCCTGTTCTGCTTCACATTCACGGAGCAGTCCTGTGTTGGAATTGGAGGTGGCTTGACGGCAGCGTGTCGGAGAATGTAGAAATCGCAGCGCTTGCAGTAAGAATTGGACTTTTCACGCGGCTCAAACATTTTATCGCAAATGGCACAGCTTTTGGGCGGCAGACTGCATCGAGGACATCGGAGCTCTCTCTTGGAGAGATCCTTCCATAGACATCTCTTAAGGCACAGGGTGCACATGTACAGCTTTTCGTCACGTAAATCCATGTCTAAGAAGCGAAATGTCAAGGCTAAAGTCCACAGATTAAAGGAAAAAACAGACCTGAACAAGCAGTTTGCTTTTTAATGCCGTTTAAAGTATTGAGAACTGACTTGGGAAAAAGCAAAGACTACTATATAGGAGTAAAAATGTCAATGACAACAATAGTCGAATTACAGGTAAAAGAGGTTAAAGGTAAATAGAAAGAGTTAGTACCATAATTGCACACTTCTGTGAAAAATAATAAAAATAGCGAGAATTCACAATTAAAAGAAAACATCTATAAAACCAAAGTACTCCGGTTTCTAGATACCCTCTTTGGTGAGTAACTTGACTAGTATACCTTTGAACTGTCACCTGGTTTTAAAGCTAAATTTATCAATTATAATTGTTCTGGGCTAATCTGGTTGATCTGGAGGAGAGATTCCCACACTTGTATCTGCCCTATCACTCCAATAGCTACAACATCTTTTTATTGGCCAAACATAAACAGTCGCGCCGGCCTAATCAAAAATAAAATACACTTTGTGCAACGTTGGCGAAAATCATACCGAGACTCCCCAATTTTTCCACCTCATCATCATTGAACCTTCATTGTCCATGTTTCGTCGCTGGCATTTCAATGAACTGTTTGCTTCTTCAGACGAAGAGAAAGAGAGGGTGGAATCCTGTCAGAAAAGGACGACAAATTGCGCTCCTTTTGTATTTTTGCCAACCTTGTCGGATTTTATTATTGGGGTCGTCGGCAGACATTGAAATTAACTTTCCGTCTTGTTCACATGTTATGTGTGCTTAATATTTGCCGAATTATTTGTAGTGGCAAGTTATTTTTTCAAGCCATTGTTTGTTTGGAAGTAAGTATGTACAGTCAAACTTCTATAAGTAAGTAGAGTTCTTATCTACAGATATTTTATTCATTTGGTTGAAAGAAATTGTACAATGCTTATAAGGTAAGTGCAGAAAACTATATTATTTTTAAATCTTTTTATAACCTTTGTTTATTTACAACTTGCTTCAAATATGACTTAAAAATAAAATAAAAATATTTTTTTATCACCATCTATTTTTATTCATTTTGTTTTATAGAATCCACTTATTTTAATAGAAATTCATTGATAGACAAAATTGGGAACATCAACAGCTTTAATAAATATAAATAAAGAAAATTAAATTTAACACAAACTTTGTTGGTCAATTCTAGTAAAAGTTTGGGAAGTTTGACTGTATTCTCCCCCAGCAATCTAGTGTTTGGTATTTGTCTTGACTTTTGCACAACTGAGTGAACTGTGACTGTCAACAAATGCCAAAAACTATAGTTAAGAAAGCTCATGAATTTATGCTGTTCCTTTTGGTTTTTGCGTCGTCATCAATAAATGAGTGAGAAATGGTCGAAAAACTGGGTCATTGGAATAGGGGGAAATATTACTTGCTGTAAGCTTCGGTTGATCTGCTCCAAGAATCAAAGTATTCATCTCCAAGCGTCACAATGGGAAAATCTACATTTCAATGGCTTCAAATTTTTTATGCAAAACCGCACTCTCCCCTTCACACACTCTCTAGCTGCCTCCCTCCCGCAATCAAATCTCAAAGGAATTGTCAAAGTGTGTGGATTTTTTCACCTCTGCCGGAGGAAATGGAAAATGGGGGCGTGGAAAACCACAATCCACACGAGAATATTCTCGCCACCGCCGGCTGCATTTTAAATGAAGAAGCGAATGGGATGCCCACTGAGCTCAGGGTGCGTTTTGGGAGCTAATACGTACTACCCAACTTTGCACTTTGAAGTTTTTGGCCAAAAGGGTAGCACCACTTTTTACAGCATAAATTTGAGCATTATTGAAATTTATTGTTGTAAATTGGCTTGGGCATAAGTGGGAGGGCTTAAAATATTGTAAAAGGGGCATTATGGTTTCTGATGAAGAGTTCCATTGTTCGTTAATCCTTGAAATGGGCCTTACTAAATTAAAATAAAAATATAAAAGTTTTGAACCGTTCGAACATTAACCAATGAAATTGGGACAAAAACAATACTTTTTTTTCATAATCTTAAACTTTAATTTTCAAACTGTAATTATCGATCAACGAAAATTGCAGCGAGACATCTCTTCGGATTATAAGTGTAACCTTTATTAAAAATATGTATGAATACAAATTGAATGTAACAATTATTTCAAATTTATTTAACCCTTTTGGAACCTTTCGTTGTCTAGTGGCAACTTATTCTGCTCACTCTTTCTGATAACAAAGGCTAAATGTGTCTACCGAAAATAGTACCTTAATCATTTGGAGAAGTTATTTGGAAAAAACTGCACTTGCTTTGGTAAAAATTGTGTTTTTTAAGATAGCAAAGTTATTCAAATAATTGATTTACAATGAATAAATAAAAATATTCAAAAATTAAATGAACAACAACATTAAAGAAAAAAGAAATGTTTTATATGCAACCACAACAACGTTCCCAAAGGCAACATTTGGTAGCGCCCTAACCAATAAGCGCGGCAACTTCAAATTTTGTCAAAAATGTTGATAAATTATTACCATAAGCTGATTCCGAAAGGGTTAAACTAGTAAAATTCTGTAATACCGAATATTTTATCTATTTAGGTTAATTATTTTAATAAATAACTATTAATAAAGCTCCCGATTTCTATATGGTAAAGTAGTGTTGGGTTAAACTCGCTCACTTTGGTGAACCAGCTCAGTTTCTCACTTTTTATTGTGTGAACAAACTCACTCAGTTCAGTTCAGTTGCTCACGCACGGACGGAGGGACATACAGACAGATGGACGGACAGAGGGGCTTAGCTAGATCGACACTCCAAGTGATTCTGATCAAAAATATATACATATTAAGTATAAAGGGTTGGAAATCACTACTGCGGTGCAAACTTTAAACTGAAACTATATTTTCTGTATGAATATTAGAAAAGATCGGAGATTATTTGTCAAAATAAACTCGGTAAGCGGTCGGTTAGAGTCCTTGCTTTTAGTCCTTTGATTGGGTATGTGTCCGTGCTAGGGAGGGTGTCTCCGCTTAAGGATTCTGCCGTCAACGTAATACAATATTAGGAAATAATAAAAAAATTAATATATATATATATTAAAAAAATGGTTTCAGAAAAAAGATTAACAATAAAATTTTAGGTTTAAGATAAAAGTATAAAAACATTCAAAATGGCAAAATAATGTTGTTCTAAATAATTCGGCTTAAGCTATTTTTTGAGTTTTGGCTAAAACTAAAAAGTAATACGAATTTTCTTAGCTTAAAAATTTCTAGTACTGCCTTAGGCCTAAAAATAAAGATGTAATTCGGCTTTTTATTGTTTTTAATTAAATCCAAGTTCAATTGCTAAAGAGTGCCAGAATTAAGTCTAACTATTCTAATTATTTTTATTTGTTTGGAAACACTTTCTTAACACCTTACACTGAATGCTAAAAAGTAACTAATTTACTAGCTTTTTACACACAATAATTGTTTTAGCTTTATTTTCGGTATTTTTGTTTGTTAAAATAGAAAGGCATTTTGGTATATTTACGCTGCCTTAGCGCGGTCACACTGAAGGTGGAGTGAAACGGCAACAAAAACAACAACTGCGGATTTGTGGAAATTTCCACAAAACCAAAATAAAAATAGACATTGCCAACCTGCAGAGCGATGCACAAAGGGGCGCCACCTTGGCAAGTGGGCGGTGCCAACGAGGCATCCGAAGTGGATGAGCAGCTGACCAGGGGGCGGAGAATTTCCGACGCAGAAGTGGCGGGGGCTGCCCCCAAACAACAACTGATAAGGAGCAAGTGGTCCACCAGTCGCAGGATGCTCTTCCTAGGACTCATCCTGGCCCTAATCCCGACTCTCCTGCCCCCCGTCAACGCAACCCACATCCGTGGCCAATTCCAGACGGAGGACTTCTTCCAGTTCCTGGCCAAATTCGGCTTCAACAAGGCGGATCCCACACGGCGGAATGCCTTCGGGTATATCTACGGCAATGTCACGTCGCCGGACAAGTACGCGGTTCCATTGACCCTCGTCGTCCTGGACAGGAGCACCTTCCTCGAGTTCTACGGCAACCGCAGCCAGAGGAGCCGGGAAGCCGCCTGCACGGGTATGTTCTCCCGTCTAAAGCGGATCGCCTACGAATCCACATGCAATCCCCGGGCCAAGCGGGATTTCCTGCGACACGTTCCCTGTCCGGCTGGCCAGCTCTGCAGCGATGAGGATGCACCAGAAAACGTCGTGCCGGGATCACAGTTCACCTATGTAATCAACCTGGAAGCGGAACCGAGGTGAGTTCAGGCCGATGCCCTTTTTTTTGTTATTCATTTAAACTCAAATGTGGAGAAAACCACATTTAAAATTACCTAGCTTTAAGAATCACACAAAATACACATTAATATTGCTTTTAAATGATTTATTTTTCCTAATCACAAACACAAACTGTTTTTGGTGCTTACTATATCAATTCCTTATAGCCAGTCTACTTAATAAAGAAGTAATTTCCAAACCCCTTACCCATACTTTATAAGGTTTTTTTAGATCCCAGAAATAAAATTAGTTTATGAATTAGTTGGAAAAGTTTTTTGAACACCCATTTTAATTTACATCTGAACGATTGAGTTCAAAAGTACACATACAAATGTAAAACCTGGAACGGCTTAAAAAACACAAAAAGATATACATTTGAATTGCCTTACTCTTAGCTTTTAGCACAATTTCCATTTCCATGTTTATATTAAATTTATATGTATATATTTTTCATAATGTACATATAAGAGCACATGCTGACACAGGAAACCAGATAAATGATAACCCAATGTGCAAGTACCTTTGTTTATTTATTGCGCTTACCCGCTAGAGACTCAACTTTTTTTACTAAACAAAAGGCGCAGAGAGTATTTGCTTTTAAATAGTTACTTGTATGCAAAACAACAGATAAACTGCTGCTCTGTGCATGATTTTGAATATTTACAAGATATCATAGATTTTTCTAAAAACTCATATTCAGCACAAAATTAATGATATTTTGTAAACATAACCAACCCTTTGATTTAATTTTTAAATGATTATTTTCTTTCATTTCTTATTCATAGAGTTGAGTGATTTAAAGAGATAAAAAAACTAG